AATTGTGGAAACTGTCTTAAATGAAAACCGTCACCCAGAAARAGTCAGCCAGAGTAGTATATAGCTCTGTGAACCAACCGACGTCTGAGGGGGCGCTTTTTCCATTCGATGGATTTTCATTGCATTGAGAACTAGACTTGAAAATCACGAGACCTTCTATGAGTTAGAGATGCAATCCAAACTGTTGCAGAAATGTTTTAGAGCATGTTTTAGAGCTTTAGTTTCCAAAGTTGGGGCTTAAAACACCAAGTAAGGAGTCTTGGGATGATCTTTAGAAAACAAATAAAAAATGTAAGCTGTTTACTAACAATGTACCTTTTGATAGTTGTTATAGAATCTAAAAAAAGTCATAATAAGATGACAATATTAAAACAAATGTTGAGGGAGTTTGAACTGTCCTTATATTCTTGCTTAATTGATTTTTCAAATGTCTAGTGATGTTTGTACATTATAACCAGTAAAAGACAGGGTCAGAAATCTCTGCCACCACTATTTTGTGGGTCAGATGTTGTTTCCAAACTTTTCATCAAGTCAGAGCAAGTTTTGTTGAAGACCTGATCGCTCTTGTCCAGTTCAAATTTCATATTTTTGTAAAGCTCTGACCTGCTAATTTGTCTGTGTGCTGCTGCCGTTCTTGACCAAGTCTCTCTTGAAAAATAGATTTTTAATATCAGTGAGCTGGTTAAATAAAGGTTAAATCAAATAAAATAATTTCAACTTTGATTAGTTTCAATTATTTAACACAAGTGAAATGTGAAACATTTAGCTTTTTTGTGTTATTTTGCCAGATGTGTACATTTATTTTTGTGTATTTTTTTAAACTTCTTGAATAGGTCATGTGATTAAAGTGTTCTTATTGACTTTTCATTTATGTTTTTAAACTTTACAACACGAGCAATAATGAAAGAAAGTTTGCTTTATTGAGTTTGCTGTTTCTGTTGCTGCTGTCTTCAAATTTGTCAGTTTTCTAAAGAGCAGATATTGAACAAAATATTTCTCTCTCTCTCTCTCTCTCTCTCTCTCTCTCTCTCT